GGGGCAGCAGGGGTGTGGGATTCCTGTAGTTGTTTTCTACATTTAGCCTGCAGGGCTGAACGTACAGTGGGGTACCCGCCGCTTGTTTTGTTCAAGTGATCTCGATGATGTCGCCGAGTTCACTTGTATGCAGCCTGCAGGTAGGGGGACGCATCGAGGAACCTGGCCTTGGGGCAGCAGAGAGAGTAAATCTGGCCCTGCTCACACGCCACAACAAACTGAGCCGGCCGCAATCGGGCCGGAACGCACTGAGGATGGTGTGAACAAGGCCTTAGTGCATATGCAATAGTTCAAATAGACCCTTAATGTAACAAAGAAATGAAGCAGCATAATAACCAAATTACATCCTGCAGCATCGCATAGCACATAACATGGCATGCACTGTGATGTGTTGCTATAAAGAATTGCAGTGCTCTTTATTTTATTTGCGCACTGCAATGCAGTGCAATAAAATAATGACTGCATCGTTTTATTGCAATGCAAACCAATGCAGCACATTGGTGCCAACAGGCCTTATACAAAGCAAAGCTTTTTGATTTGTCCTTGCATTGGGAATGTGTTTGGCAATGCTGTCCAACACACCCAACGAGGCTGGTGTCACCCAACCCTAAATGTTACATTTTACAAGAATTGATGTAACTTGTTTTTGAGTCTAAAAACACTATCAATCTCACTAGCCACCAACAGTATTTCCTTTTTGTTGCATGGGCAGAAAATTGGAAGCTTTTTACTTGTAGGAATGAAATATGACAATGTTTATTCAATAGAGAATTAGAGTAAATGTGGTATTGCATAATCTGGGAAATATCTGAATTATGTTTTATATTCTAGTGAGGATTTATGTGCAGCAGGTAGTATATATTACTGTAAAAGTCATAACTGCCAATCAAGTTTCTTTATGAGCAGCACGATCCACATCAGACATGTACCCATTACAAAGAAAATTACCATAGAGATTTTGAATGGCAAAGATATCATCAAAATTCAGCAGATATTCTCTGCCTAGTTTCTTGTAGTATGGAGACATAAGGGCATTTTTGAAGGGTGAATGCTGAAGCCCAAGTGTGTGCCCAATTTCATGTGCCAGGACAACAAAAAGATTTCTGCCCTTCCCATTCAATGACCAGTGTTCAGCATTGTCAAAGTGAGCTTCTCCTCTTCTTGGAAAAAAGGCATGAGCCAGAGCACCACCTGCCGGAAGACACAGATCAGTCAGTCCAGAGGAAAAAGCAATGTCACATTATCAAAAAGATCTCAGAAATGAGGACGGAGGTTAGTATTTTACCAACATGCACTCAGTACGGGAAGTGGGGGGATTAATTAAATGACAACTGTACCAAAAGTACAATATTTTCACAGAGCTTCCCATCCATCTAAAGTGCAATTGACCTTTAATCCTTTTTTGGTTTTGCATAAAGTGTGTAAGGTTTAGAACCTCTGTACATTTTTATAAAACTGCCTTGATTACTCAGAAAGTGAGAAGAATCCCCCCTCCCAAGACACAAACCTAATTAAAATCCTGATAGAGGTTTTAACACGTCCCTCCCCCACTGAAAAGTGATTTTATTTCTGTTTGTATTCTGGGTGGAGAATTTTTGCTCTCTTTCTGTCCCTGTAACACAACAAGAATGGGGAGGAATCTCCTCAAGAGAGAAAAATACAGAAATTAAAAAAAAAAGAAGATTTTTGGACCCTTTGACACTCTATCCAGACTAAAAGGTTTTTTCTAAAGACCCACTTCATTTCTTACAGCCTTCTGTGTTTGGATAGGGAAATAGACTGTGAAAAATTGGTATAAGAAGCGTCTCACTGCCTGCCATGCAACAATGAGTACGTCTTCTCTGCATATTTATTATGAATGGTATAAAGGCAGAGAAACTAAATTATACTACTGCCAAAATGTGTTCATACCTCACTCAATTAGCCAGACAAATATGACAATAACTATGCATGCAAAAGTGTTTTAGAAAGGTTATATAAATTGAACTTGTGCCTAGACTATGCACATTTAAGTATTTCCATATTCTAAATAGGCATTTACAGTACTTTAAAACAAGCCCCCATTTACCACTACAGGATTGTGGATAAAAATCATCTTCAAGGTCCACAACAAAGGCACTAAAATCAGGTAATTTGTATTGATAGCAGAATCTTGGCAGCCTGTTGGCCTTGTTGTATAGCTCTTTTATTGCTTAAGAGTATGCAAAAAATTAATTGTTCATAGTCGGGGCACAGGGGCGTTTTAAGAGCAGTCAAAACCTTAAAAAGACTTTCCTTTCATGTACATTTTAGTATACATTGGATGAATTTCTGCAATGAACTACAGGACCCAAATCTGCACCGGTCACACAACAGAGGGCAACCAGACAATCATTTTAAATGTGCCATGAATGATTTCTGATGGATAGTTTTGTTTTCAATGGGCTACACAGCTGTGGGGTGATGCATACTACATTGCTATACTTTAGTTCCACTTGTAAACAGTACTTATAAACAATTTAAGACATCACACAACCTTATGTACTTTGAATTAAAGTAATTGGTTAGAACTATTTCGACTTCTGTTTTATATTAAATATAGACATAGTAATATTTAATTGCATTCTGCATTTTATCTGGCGTCCATCCACACAGGTTATCAGCCAAGTATGTTGCATTGTAAATGCATTATACAGCAAAACGGGTTGGTACATGAGCGTTTGCTTGCATCTGAACCCTTTTTATCCCTCCTAAAATAAATGGGAATGTAAAAGTAGCTTGTGTGGTGTAGAAGGAGGAAAATGCAAGTCAGAAACAGGTCAAATGTAGATCTGAAGCAGCAGTGATGGAACTGGTCTTAAATGCAAGCATATAGCATGCTGCAACTGTCAATGTATACAAACCCTGCATTTTGCACATGATTTAATAGGTCTGCACGATACAGTTTATGAGTTTGATTACATTGTTGATCAAAACTGACAAAATACATCCAGAAGGTGGAAGAACAGTGGATGTAGGGAGACACTTAGTTCTAAAAGAGCCTGCACTGAAAACCTGAAAACCCCTGTGTACCTGCAGTGGGAAATCTGATATACTAGATTGGTATATCAGTGTTTTAGTAACAAAGTTTACAAGAGTGAATAATTCTGCACCTGGTCCATCAAATGCATGTCTAGCTCCATCATTGTGCTCTCCATCGAAGAACGCCAGACGAATGTTCCCTGGGCCTCCTACTACCTCGGAGAAGGTCAGCGAGGACACATTACTCCACATCTCAAAAGCTGCTTTAACTGCCTGCCTCACCTGATGCTGAGACAGGTACCATGGCCAGTTCACTATCTGATAGGTGAGTTGATGTTTGTACCATTTACCTGGAACGGAAAACACAAACACATTAAGCATTCTGAAAAATAAAAGTACGGTCAATTCTTTGTCGCACGTAGGACAGGCCATTAATATGGGGCTCTATATGCGACACACAAAAATGCCCATACATGATCATGCACTGTAACACCCATGCAAGTGTGAATGGGCGCCTAGGCATTCTATTCAGTGCTCCTGAACAGCACATTGATACCTTATTAACCGAGCTAGAACATTAATTAAGCACATTATAAAGAGGAATTTTTAGGTATTATCATCTGGGTTATTATAGATGAATTCTGTTTATGATAAAATTAAGTTATAGAGGTTCTAATCAATAAAGGCAGTTTGTGAAAACTTCATATACTCTACAATATAATCCTATAATCCTATCAAATGAATGTAAAAGTGGAGACCCTGTCTGTAGCAATTATCAAGATTCCTACATTCATTATCAAACCAGGTTAGGAAAAATCTGCTTTCTGTGAGAAAAACCTCCATGTTCCTTTCTTCTACCCTTTAGGAATGATGCAGACTATGAATATTGAGCTATTTACACAGGGCCACCATTAGAAATCATGGTGCCCCGTACAGCCCACCTGACAGGGAACTGAAGACAAGCATTATTATACACTTTACTGCAACACTTAACAATGAACATTACATGCATTGGTGCGATGCACTGCCAATCATTGAGATGGGCATACGTTGTGGATTACTGCCAAAAAATACAGGTCTGAATATTCTTTCAACCTTTGGCATAGCACCACACATTAGTGTGCTGAAACACATGTCCATCTCAAAGTGCATTGGGAATGAATGGCACCCCTTTTTTGCACATGCACTACTTTTTTCCACCGCACCATGGTGACAGGCTAGTAACAGCCTAACTCACTGGTGCATCTCAAGCACCAGTGTGGTAGGCAATCACTAGAGGCTCAGGCAGCAAGTTAGGTGGACCTGTATACAGCAGCATATACCTTAAACACCATGACAGCTGCAGGGGAGGAGTCCGAGCTCCCCTATCTGCTTTCAAACAGAGCCCAGGCGCCCCTGCTGACCCGATGGAGCCCATGCCTGGTATGGGAGGGCTGGGTGTACCCCCCATTAGCATTCCTGTACTTACATATTCTTAACAAGGAGTAAAAAAGCTTTAAAACAAGCCACTTCTAACCTTTTTTAGTAGGTATGAGCTTCAGGTTTGGGTTGACCATGAGTTTGAACCGAACCCAAACTGTTCGCAGTTGGTCGAACTATTTGGCCAGTTCACCCCCCTGCCAAACCACCCTCTGTGTCCTAGCAACCACATAGCACAGTGTCATTGGTTGCCAAGACAAAGGCATGCCCCCATAACAAACAATGACGCTATGTGGTTAAGCCCCAGTGCTTTTTTAAAAGTACTTTTACTGATTATTCACAATTTGTAAATACTGTGCATAATCGGCACAGGTTTATTTTTAACTTGGCTTTGTGAAAACTATTAAAACTTAAAATACTGTAGAATTTTCTCCATGAAATGCTGTAAAAGGAATTTATCAAAACTGGAGAAGACCAAATCTGAAGCAGCAACCAATTAGCTTCTCTCTTCAGTTTGTTCAGTTGAGATTTGAAAATGTAAGATAGAAGTTGATTGGTTGCCATGCACAGCTGCTCCAGATTTTGTCTGCTCCAGTTTCGATAAATTCCCCTATCTGTATTTAGCTGCCTAGCAGGCAAACAGATGAAGATATGGATGTCATAACAGGATACACTGCAGGTAATAAACTCATAAAAAAGGCATGATAAGTCATGTAGTGTAGAAGAGTTTTCCTAGGTCCCCTTCCTATCCTTCTGTTGATGATGCTAGTTCTTTGACTGTTCATACCCTTATTTATCTCTGAAAATCATAATCACCATCATTGCACTGATGAAGTAAAAATAACACCCCGGTGTGCAACTTGAAAGAGACAAGACTTGACAGGACTGATATAGTCAAGTCGTGCAATAAGTACTTAGGAAGGGTTAGTAAGGCACATCTCAAATAATGGATTGTCTACATTTTGCCTCAGGAAACATCAATTGCCAGCCTGCCTATGTCGTTGTGTTGTTAAAGCAAATATTGCCTAAATACAAGAAGCATGTAAAGCTTGTGCCTTGTGTTTTTCTCCCAGATCTGTGAAGTAATATAGCATGTTACTTTGGCTCTGTTCAGGAGCTTCCTGTGATAAGGACCAGTCACTGCTGCTCTCTCTCTCCTTGTTCAGGGTGACTTGTCTTTTATCTGCCCCTCCTGTAGGTTTCTGCAGGGAGCCTGTACCGGTTGGTAAAAGGCCATTTATAGCACAATTATGTCACTGCTCTTGTTACAAGGTAATAACTGGGTTGGGAAAGGCATATGGTGCACACAAAGTGGAATACTGTTCTTTGTGGCTATTGAGAATTTTTTTAATGAACGTTTAAGATAGATTTCGATGTGTTTAGCCCCAGAACCAACCTTAGATTATGGAGTTGCATCACAAGACTCCGTGACTCACTATCATATTGAGACAGTTTGTCATTCCTCATCTGGCGTATCATTACCTGCAGACACCTATAGTCTGCATTCCTTACCAGGCAAACCTTATATACACTTAAGCAACAAAGGAAATGCTTGCCCTGTTAATGATTTGTTATAGTACATATGACTCACAGTGCAGAACATCTCTTAGCTAACACTTGATAATAGCTAACATTTTCCCTCTGAATAAAAAGGTTACAATATGTTTTTACAGATCACTGTACTAAATGCATATAATCTTAGGTTGCTCAATAAATATGCTAATTCCAAGAAAAAGCAGTGCAATCAAAAGGCACATATAGTATTACTGGTCTTGTCATATCCAGGTCCGTAGAGTCACATATGTGAGCCATGCTAGAGGCTACACAACAATTCTATTCATTTGTTAATATACTAGCTGAAGCGAAAAAAAACCAAAGGAAAACCCTGAGGCTTCCTTAGCCCTCTATGGGAAGACGGCCCATTGCACACTGATGCAGAACTGTGTCTTTACAAAGGATAACACGACATGGTTGTAAGGCACACAAAGAAGGGGTCACGACTACATCACACTTCAGATGACACAGGGATGCACTTGTGTGCACACAGCATCTGCTAATTTCTGCTGTATTAATGATCTGTGGTGTGTGTGTTGTTGGCCCAAATGACGTAATTATGAAGGTAAATGAGGGCTTTTCTACATGTAACAATGCATGCAAGTTCTGGGAAACTTAAACAGGCATCTACTTGCGTCTGCAAACTGACATGTCACGTGTACTGCACTTCTGAAGCTTTTAAGTGGCTTTAGTTAGCTGTTAATCAGGCATGCAGTACACATCCTGTCATATAAGAGATGTATTGTGTAGTGGTGCGAGAGAAGGGAAAGTAATTGGACTGGTGGCCACATTCGTGGTTACAATTAGGCGTAGTAGGCTTGTATCTATGGGAGGAGTAGGCTGGTTTTCCCTGTAAGCATATTAGTTGTACATTTATGTATGAATAATATTGGTAATAATATTCTCATCTCTTACATGCATATTTACACATTGTAACAATATACACACTATAAAGGACCAGTGCAAATGTTCTGGGCACTAGAGATGTTCATAATCCTATCCGAGAGGTGTTGTTCTTCTGTACTTCTCTCATGACAGGTGTACTTTAAGGCTACATTCACCCGGGGCACTCTGGGATTCATGCGGCAAGAACCTAATGATTCTTGTAGCAGGAATCCCAGGTGGGTAAATTCAGATGTGGCTGCTGTACCCATTAAAGTTAATGACAGGGTGACAGCGGCTGCATCTCAGCAGTAGGGATGATCTCGATGTTCGAGTCAAGCAACAGTTCGACTCAAACATCGATAGTTCGTGTGTTTGGCGAACACACAAACTATCAGGGCTCTGGGCACCGCAGAATCCCGACACCTTTTCTATGGCCAGTAACTTGCATATAAGCCTTCAAAATGGGGACATTTGATTTTCTGAGTTCTGGTCCCATAGAGTTTCATTAAGCTCGAAGTTCGAGTTTAACCGTTTTCCATGTCCTAAAGTTCGAACTCGAACTGAACTCAGGTCTGTTGGGACCATCACTACTCAGCAGCAGTCTGCATGTAATAGTACAATTACATGCAGTTTAGGACATCTGATTGCCCCAGGATGCAGGATAAATGTGTCCCATTTGAGACACTTGCGATTCTTGTCACAGAAATCAGTTCGTTCTTGCTGCAAGAGTCCAAGAACGTGGCATAAGTCTCCATATGAATAGGGCCTAAATATAAAAGACGATGATAAGTCAAACATGGAGCAATCTGCTGCCACCTATGGCCAGGTAAAGAAGGCCTTTCCACAAACCTGATCCTATAACATATGTATCACATATTTCAGAATTCTCCTTTTTAAAGGGACATATTTTGGATCCAAATCCATCTGTCTCTTATACTTTAACAACTGCTTTTCTGTAAGTCTAATGTGTACAGATATCTAGTTAACCAGAGCCTGCTGCATAATGATCACTTATTTTAAACACTGGTATAAAGGAAAGGAAGTGGCGCTGCCTGTCAAGTCATATGCAAGTCCAACAAAAAGTAGTAGTTGTTTTAGTATTTATTTTTTGCCAAGATTACAAAGCCCTGATGCTTTAACATCTTTTGGGCTCCCCATTCAACAACTGTTCAACTTGAAATGCTGATTTATAATCCACAATATGCAACTGAACTCAGACACCAAAACCTTATTCATTCCCAGCCCAAGCAGTGTCAAGAGAAATGAGGGGAAGCAGGGACCTATTGCTCTGCAGCAAGAAACTAAGGGGTCTATTCACAAAGCTGCCGAAGGATCTGGCCGTAGCTTCGGCCTAGCAGAACAGCCGAGCCAAATGCCGCTCGGCGGCATTCGGCTATTCTCTCACTGCTGTTCGGGATCTTTCAGAATAGCCCGAACAGCAGTGAGAAGCCTGCCGGAGGTTCAGCTCAGCCGATCCAGATGTTGGATCGGC